CTAAAAGAGGCAGATTTTACACACAAAAAAATCAGGATGAATGAGATGCACATTCGTTTGACATCAGTGTTCTTCCCTTTTTTTGAGTTTGTTTGTATTTGTGTTAACAAACATAATAATAAAAATGTTCATTGTGGTAAACGAAATAATAATTTGATCTAAGTAAGAGTTGTTTTTTTCCCTCGATTTGTAAAAAATCCTTACGCGATAAAAAAAAAGAATATTATTTTTGAAATCTTCGTAGCTGAATTTTGGAAAATCCGTTATTAAAACCAAAACAACTTTTATGAACTTTAATTCGCAGGCCTATGTAATTAATTATTCCACTATGATAGTGGTCTTTAAGAAATCAAACAATTTACATTATCACTACCAATACATAATGAATTCCCTTTAAGATATAGAACAATAAGTTCAATATTACATAATATTCTTTAACAATGAAATGAATGAAATCATAATTCAAACCTAAAATATTACAGAACTGCCAGTTAACACAGATATATAAGTAATTAAGTCGTTATCATAAAATACCATTCAACAACGAAGTTACAAATGAAATTCCATTATAAAAAAGATAAACTCACAATGAATCTAAAACATGAAATATGCCACTTAACAAAGAAAGTTCAAATACTACAGTATGGAACAAAATGAAAGCTAGAAACCAAAATGAACCCTTTAAGAAAGATGTACATTAATTGAATCATTTACCATATACTTTAAAACACAAAATAAATCCTTTGAATATACAGTTAACACAAAATTACTTAAAACTAGTACAACTTTTTGGAACCACCATAAAAATTTAATTATAAAGGAGAGTTTGAAAAATACAAAATTAATACCTTAATACATAAATAGTAATAAATGCATATGACCTAATTAAAACATGATCAATAAAAGAAAAAAGAGATATCTATAATAATAAGCTCCAAGAAAAAAAACCTAGAAACCTGAAATTTTGCATCCATTCTAAATGGACACTGAAGGTTTGCACCTGGGTATTACTTACCTTATACACGTACATGTGGGTATTACTTACCTTATACACGTTCATGTGGGTATTACTTACCTTATACACGTTCATGTGGGTATTACTTACCTTATACTCGTTCATGTGGGTATTACTTACCTTATACACGTACATGTGGGTATTAATTACCTTATACACGTACATGGCCAGCAGTGTTTTGATTGTCCTTGGGTTAGAGGCCTCTTACTTGGGTTCTGGCAATGGAGTGATGGCAAATTCTCTCTGCAGTGGTGGCTTGCTCACTATTTAACTAATCTTTACTGCTGTAGTGGTAGCTGTTATTGTGATATATATGGTGGAAATAGTTGTTGGGACAATATGTTTTCTCTGGGGACTAGTCTTGCCACTATCCACCTGGAGCTTGGTCGACCCTTGAGAGGATCCAATCTCCAGAAAAGCTTTCTTTGGCTTTCAGATGTAATAGTTTTGTTGGAGGTGGTAAACAGTTGGTGCAATTGATGTTTGTTGTCTTGGCACCATTGGACACGACATTTCAGCGGTAGGTTATGTTCTGTTATATATAACTCTGTTCACTCCTGATGGTTGAGTAGCCTGCTATTGAGCCCTTGAAGACTAAGCTCCTCAGTAGTCAACATGGTCATAGTCAGTGCTTTATCCTTCACTAGTATATTCAGTGGAGGCTTGAAATCTGCTGAAACTTCCATGGTCAATGGGAACTGCCTGGTCCCAAGAGACTTCAAGGCTAATCATATGACAGACATAGATCTTTCTAGCCAGACATGGTGAGCTCAGCTAGAGGTGTAGATTGTGAAAAAGGGTTGTAACTGTGTGGTTATAACCACGACCTGTTCTAAAATCATTGTTCCATTTACACTTATTTGCGCTTCACGTGTACTCATGTTTTATGACCCATATGAAATACATTATTAACACTCATGAACTTCTCGATGTCCTATTCGGTATCCATTTGGCTAATACCTATAACCATGCTGTCCACTGACATTCCCGTTAGACAACAGCTAACACAGTTTACACTCCAACCCAGCTATATTCCTTTCACTACCGTTTGTTTTTCACATGGACAAAGCCTGGATGCAGTAGGAAAGAAAATGAATTGAGATTGTAAGCATTTGCTTCCTTATTTATGATATCTGACTCGGGTTAGCCACTGTACAAGTGCCAACTTCGAGCTTCTGAGGATTGTCTCTTCCTTGGGTCTCTTTTCCAGATACATACTTAGTTCTAGTCATGTTTGACTTACAAACTGGCATATTACAGATGTTACTGCGTCTGAACATACACCAACGCCTGTGTTTTCATGCGTTTTAACTGTACCTTACACTACAACAATGAGAAGAAAATATTCAGAAAACTGTGTACTTACAAAATATTTTATTCTTCATGATTGAAAATTTCCCATCATGATCACTGAGTTTACATATCATATAATATCTAAGCTATTGTCAGTGAATTTCATTTAGTACTGATAATTTCACCTACTCATGAATATTTTGATTCAATTCAATCAGAATACCCTGAACTACTCTTATAAAAAACCCAGGTCAAATTTTCTTTCAGATTTTCAGGGAGTTTCTTTGTCACTTGTACCCTTCCATGAAAATTCAATCTTTGTCAAGTATTTTAATGTTGAAATTGAAGAATTTTCTCAGTTTTTCTGCTGTATCTTCATACAATACCTTCCAAGTATGTAGTCAGTTAACTTCATTTCACAAAGTCATAACAACCAACCAAATCCTTTATTTCTTTTCACGTGTTGCTTAAATGTGTGTTTTTTAATTGAATCATTTGTGTTTTATTCAGTATTCATGAATGATTTTATTTGTGAGAATACCCACATACATTACACATCATAACATACGCTAGTAGCTTAAAAGATACGCTTCTAGCTCGTGTGCAATTACTTTGGTAATCTTCTTTGGTTACTTTCCACAAATTATGTCTTGATAGCTCTGTGGTACCATAGGCTTCCATCTATGAGTCATCATATTCAAGATGTTCTTATTTTAAGGCATCACAAAATGAATAATCACTGGCAGAATTCAGTTAAACTAAGACTTTTCAGCTAAAATTCTCATCAGACAGGATTAATATTTGTGCTGTTAATACATTATATGTCATTGCACACTCTGAGAAAACATAACTCCTTCACTGAAGGTGGAAAAATCTCACATTTTTCATGTGTAGGGGGAATCTAACGAAAACTATATAACATGCTCTACAGAACTCTCACCACTCAGAAAGGTCAGATCATTAATTCCTTTGAAATGTTGAATAACATTTTGCTTCAGAAAATTACCCAGGAGCTTGTAAAGCAAGGGTTGTAATGTCCTTTTCAGATGAGTTTTGAATACCTAGCCGTCACTATCAGTTGTGCAAACTGTTGATGTTTTAGGCATTACACTTACTAACACAAGCTATCCTAA